TTTTTTTTCCTCTTTTTCTTTTTTTTATTTTTATTTTTTTAATTATTTTTTTTCCCACCTCCAAGCCCCGCCCGCCTCACGTGACCTCGTTTTTTTGGGGGGCTGCGGAGGAGGAGCCGAAATTTGGGGACCCCCCCCCAAACCCCCGGACCCCAAAGACCGCCGAGACCGCAGCCCCAAAATCCGCTGGAATAGCCCCAAAATTCGGTGCGCTCCCCCCACCCCACCCCAGGGTTTGGCCCCAAATTTTGACCCGGGACCGGGAAAAGGAGGGGAAAAGGAAGAAAAAAAAATAATTTTAAAAATAGAGGGAATTTCCAGCGGGAAAATGGGAAATTGGAGCGGGAGGGAAGGAAAAAATGAAATGAAATGAAATGAAATGAAATGAAATGAAATGAAATGAAATGAAATGAAATGAAATAAATAATAAAATAAAATAAAGTAAAATAAAATAAAATAAAAATAATAAAATAAAATAAAAATAATAAAATAAAATAAAAATAATAAAATAAAATAAAATAAAATAAAAATAATAAAATAAAATAAAATAAAATAAAATAAAATAAAATCAAATAAAATAAAATGGAAAAGCCGGGAAGGAAATTAAGGAGGGGGAGAGGAGGAGGAGCGGGAGGGGCTGAGGGAGCGCGGCTCCCGCATTCCCGGGATTACCGGCGGCTCCCGGGGATTCCCGGTGAGCCGCTGTCCGTGCCGCTGTCTCGGTTCCCGGGATGCCGGGGCTGGTTGTCCCATTCCCGGTGTCCCTGTCCCGTTCCCATTCCCGGTCTGCTGGTCCCGTTCCCGGTGTCCCGTTCCCGGTATCCTGTCCCTGTATCCGCTTCCCGGTGTCCCAGTTCCATTCCTGGTACCATGTTCCCATTCCCGGTCTCCCATTCCCGGTGTCCCGTTCCTGCTGTTCCGGTATTCCCGCTGTCCCATTCCCGTTCCCGGTCTCCCATTCTGGTGTCCCATTCCCATTCCCGGTATTCCCAGTGTCCTGTTCCCAGTATTCCAGTATTCCCACTGTCCCATTCCCATTCCCGGTATTCCCAGTGTCCTGTTCCCAGTATTCCCAGTATTCCCACTGTCCCATTCCCGTTCCCGTTCCCGGTATTCCCAGTGCCCTGTTCCCAGTATTCCCAGTATTCCCACTGTCCCGTTCCCGTTCCCGGTATTCCCAGTGCCCTGTTCCCAGTATTCCCAGTATTCCCACTGTCCCATTCCCGTTCCCGGTATTCCCAGTGCCCTGTTCCCAGTATTCCCAGTATTCCCACTGTCCCGTTCCTGTTCCCGGTATTCCCAGTGCCCTGTTCCCGGTATTCCCATGTTCCCATTCCCACTCCCATTCCCGCTGTCCCATTCCCATTTTGGCTGTCCCATTCCCTTCCCGTTCCCAGTATTCCTGCTCCCGTTCCCATTCCCGGTATTCCCGGTATTCCCAATGTCCCATTCCCATTCCCATTCCTGTTCCCACTGCCTGTATTCCTGTTCCTGCTCCCGGTATTCCAGTTCCTGGTATTTCCATTCCCACTGTCCCGTTCCCGTTCCCAGTATTCCCAGTATTCCCAGTATTCCCAGTATTCCCGGTGTACCATTCCCATTCCCAGTATTTCCTGGATTCCCGCTGTCCCATTCCCATTCCTGCTCCCATTCCCAGTATTCCCATTCCCATTCCCACTGTCCCAGTTCCTGCTCCCATTCCCGGTATTCCTGGTGTCCCATTCCCGTTCCCTGTATTCCCGTTCCCGTTATTCCCTGTATTCCCGCTGTCCTGTTCCCATTCCCAGTCCCGTTCCCATTCCCGGTATTCCCAGTGTCCCATTCCCGGTATTCCCGCTCCCTGTATTCCCGGTATTCCCCCTGTCCCACTCCCTGTATTCCCGGTATTCCCGCTCCCTGTATTCCCGGTATTCCCAGCATTCCCGGTATTCCAGTATTCCCGCTGTCCCGTTCACGGCATTCCTGGCATTCCCGGGATTCCCGGGATTCCCCGTATTCCCGTTCCTGGCATTCCTGCTGTCCCATTTGAGGCATTCCCGGTATTCCCGTTGCCGGTATTCCCGGTATTCCTGACATTCCCAGTGTTCCCGCTCCCGGTATTCCGGAATTCCCGGTATTCCCCTTGTCCCGCTCCCTGTATTCCCGGTATTCCCGGCATTCCGGTATTCCCGGCATTCCCAGTATTCCCGCTGTCCCGCTCCCTATATTCCCGGTATTCCCGGCATTCCCGCTGTCCCGCTCCCGGTATTCCCGGTGTTCCCGGTATTCCCGGCATTCCCGCTGTCCCGCTCCCGGTATT